TTTGCTGTTATTACTGCTCTATTTAAAGGGCCAAGTAGCTTGAATAAAATCATTGAGTTTTTCCTCAGTAAAGTAGAGTTTTTAATTCTCTTCATATTTGGCCCTAACTCTATGGAGCTTAGGGTTAAATTTGGAGTTAACTCTTTGTGTCTATTTATTTATTTTTGGGGCAACTCTTTAGACTTTAAGATTATTATGTTTATACTTGGGGTTAATATGTTCCATCTGAATCCAGTTGTGTAGAATTATTAAGTGGAAGTATTAATTGATAACTTTTTTTTTAAAAAAACTTGCCATGTCGATTTTTTAATAACGTAAATATTTGATATATATTTAATCCATGCAAATGGCCAAAAACCGGTTCGTGCAATTATTTTATGATAAATCTTTATTTTATTTTATACTAAGATAATTATTTTGTGATGCTATTAACAAATAACAAACAGTTCCGGATAATGTCACGGAGTGGCGTGGTAAGAATGTAAGATGTATAACATTGAGCAAACCAATCAAAATTTCCACAAAAAATGGAATTCACATCGAATTTGAAATATTAACCTTCTTAAAAGAGTCAAGAAGGTATATTTTTGCCTGGAACGATCAACAATACTCCATGTTTGGTATGACATTTAAACATAGCATATTTGACAAATTCAAGCAATCATAAACTAGAAAATAGGCATTTTTTCCTTTCTTAGAGATATATAATCAACAAACTAAGAGACAGAAAAGTTAATTCTAATGATAATAAATAGGTAACACAATATTAAAATTAGTAAGCAAACACTCACGGAGAATTTCGGTCCTCCGTTAGCTTAAAAGTGTCCACAAGAGGAAGTGCTTCCGTCTGCATCGCTGCTCCAATTTCCATTTACCAAAATCAAAATCATCAAACATTAAACCTGCTACTTCACACATACGCACAGAGAAAGATGAAGTACCGATGATGATAACGATAGTTGAAATATGGTTATCGGAAGAGGAGACAGCTGAGACGATCTCCTGGTTGCTGTTGTTCTCATCTTCAGTATGAATAGGATCCGTTGTCGTCGTCGTCGACGGCGGTGTGTCGGTCATTTTCCCTCTCTGATAATCCGGCGGAGGGAGGAAAGAGTGGAAATTGGAGGAGCGAATTTGGCGGACACGTCTTTCACAATGCGGTGTTAAAACGGGACCCATCTCAACAAAAAGACGAAACGATGAAAGAAAAAGAGAAATAAAAGATAATCTTTGAAAAAATTAATAACATTATTGAATTTTATAAAAAAGCCAAATTACAATATAGATAAAAGATAAGAGTTAAATGCAAATTTGATCCCTGTTGTTTACATATATTAACGAATAAGGTTTCTAAAAATAAATTTTAACGAAAAACATCCTTATGTTTCATTTTGTGAAGGAGAACCTGCTAACATTGTTAACTACGGTGGTGTTTTTTTTAATGAATTATCAAGATGTTGTTAGTGGGGTTCGGTTTTGATGAGAAACGTAAGAAAATATCTTTATTCTTGGATGCACATTTGGATGAGATGCATTGGATCAACCTTCATATCAACCGGTTCATGGATGAATTTGAGAGTAAAGATGATCAAATGTCCAAATTCATTCTTACGTTTCTCATCTTAACTATTTTTCTCACACGATCTTTAGCTTTTGTTAGTGGGGTAGTTACGTTCATGAACTCTTCCCCTTTATCTACTTTCATTTTATAACACATTTGATCCCTCTTTCTACTTTCATTTTTATAACATATTTGATCCCTCTTTCTACTTTCAATTAGTATACACAAAAAAAATTGTTATACTTAAATAGATTTAAAAATATAAATTAGATTTAAAAATATAAATTAACTAATTAACTTAAACTAGTTAACATATACTAAAATAATTATAGTTAAATGATAATTAATAAATATATATTAAATATAAAGAAATGTTACAGTTTAGATCATTAGAGCTGGAATGTGCCTGATATTTAGGAGAATAGCTTTGAATAAACCAACTGCATCGTGGACCTATTTTTATGCAGATAGTTTAGGATTCTACTTTTCTGTTTTATAATTMTTGTTTCTTTGCTGTTATTACTGCTCTATTTAAAGGGCCAAGT